CCCCTGCCCCGGGGGTTCCCGTCAAAGGGGGGCCCCCCTTTTTCCTTAAAAAAACCAGAAAAGGGCCCCCCCCCCCCCTCCCAAAAATTTGGGGGCCGCGCAAACCAGTTCAGGGAGACCAAGGGGGGGGGGGTTGGGTCTTCCACCACACCCCCTTAAAACCTTCACCCCCTGGGGCTTTTTCCCAAGGGGGGGGGGTTACCCCCCCCCCCCCCCCCCTTCCCACTTAGAAGGTAATGGAGCTCCCGATCAAGCACCCGGAGCTTTTTGAGTCGCTTGGCATCGCCCAGCCCAAGGGGGGAGGCAATTTCCCCCCCCCCCCCCCCCTCCTCCGCTCTCACCCCTCCACCCCTCCCCCACCTCCCCTCTCACCCCTCCACCCCCCAGGTGCTCATGTACGGCCCTCCCGGGACCGGCAAGACGCTGCTCGCCCGCGCCGTCGCACACCACACCGACTGCACCTTCATCCGCGTCTCCGGGTCGGAGCTGGTCCAAAAGTACATCGGAGAGGGCTCGCGAATGGCGCGCCACACCTCTCCCGCCAACCCCCCCCTCGAGCCTCGCACCCCTCCCTGCCCCAACGCCGTCCGCTGCCCTCGCCTGCCCTCGCCCCTCCGCCCCACCGCCCCTCCGCCCCTCCGCCAACCCTACCCCTTGGCACCTCCGCCAAGGTGCGCGAGCTCTTCGTCATGGCGCGCGAGCACGCGCCCTCCATCATCTTCATGGACGAGATCGACTCCATCGGCGGGCAGCGCCAGGACGGCGAGGGAGGGGGCGACTCGGAGGCGCGCACGCACTCTTCCCATCGCCCTCCCCGCACCGTGTCATCACAACGCACGCTCGACGGACACACGCCGCCGTCCTGAGCCCGAGGACAGAGCCAGAGCCAGCTAGAGCCGAAGCCAGAGCCAGCCACCGCCCCTCCCTTCCCACCACCCGGGGACCACAAGAGGCAGTGAGGTGAGGTGTATTGTATTTGGTGTCGTGTTGCGAGTGAGGAGCAGGACTGAGGAGCGCAACACCGGCGCATCACACAAGGCCGCCCGCAAAAGCGGGAGGCGTGGGGATCGACGGATAACCAGGGCGCAGGGGTGAGGGGACTGAAGATCCCGTTCCCTCTCTCACACCAACACATGTCCCTAAATCCCTCTCGTCTCAGAGTTCGCGAAACCGGTGCTATATCGTATCCGATTCATGCTACAGTAGGATGGCTACGTGTGATGGTTACAAATATTACGGGTCTGCACGCCGCCCGGCCGCGGCACCAGGTGCGGCGAGCGCCGAAGAGTCGCACCAGGCGTACGATATGAGCCAGCGTTCAAGCTGCGAAGCTCCGAGCCGCTGCCGCCCTGCGCCAC